AAAATGTTTTTGAATGTCAGTAAATGCTTCAGTATGCTGAAATTCTCGCCACTGTGCGGACCTGGGAGTCACTTTCCAATCCAACATGAAATTTAATTTGCACTATGAGATAATTGTTAACAGGGTACCTTGGGCTTCATCACTAGAAATACCAAACCTTTTCATAGAATTAATAACTTGATAAAGCTGTATAATGCCTTTGTCAGGCCCCACTTGGAGTGGAGTATGCAGACTTGATAGAAAGAGTCCAAAAGACATTTTTGAGATATTTTTATTTCAAACAATATCATGTATATTTCCTCTGCCAGTGTCATATGGAAGTATGTTGGAGACCTTCAAGCTTCAGTATTTTACAGGCGCGGATCCAGGGAGGGGCCATAGGGGCCATGCCCCCCCCCCTAGATAAGAAAAAATAATTTTAAAAATCAACATTAAATCGACCAATTTTTCCTGGTTTACCAGGGCCCGTATATAACAGAATTTTATTTCATGGCGTCATTTTATCACGGACATCTAGCCTATTTTATTTCTATGTACAGGGTATTTAATTATATTTGGACCCATACCTACAGCGTGCTACAGCCTTCATTATCTAACGGCCGTATTCACCAACGACCGCTAACTGCTTATCAGTCTGATAAACTGCTTGTCGGACTGTTAACGTAAAATTCGGTAGTCTGCAGTCTGATAAAATTATCAGGCGAAATTTGGGTTTAAGGAAGTTATCTGTCTGATAAGTGTTATTGTTATTGTATTCAAAATTTTCTTCTATCTTAAATAGTAAAGGCTCGAGTAAAGGCTGTAGGCATGGGTCCAAATATAATCAAATACCCTGTACAGGGTGTCTGGTTATAATTTGACACCCCACCTGCAGTCTTCACCTTTACAGGTAGATGATAGGTGTGAAAACAAAAGTTCTGCAGTTTTAACTAAATTTTCAGAATCCATCGTCAAAAACAAAATTGTATCGTAAGAAATTTGAAATTTTGCGTAGTTTCAACTTATTTAAATGAAATGCCCTATATTTGCTTCTAATATATAGTTTTTCTATATTTGTTTGAGCCGCCTTCAACACATTTGGCTCTAAAAATTGGAAAAATACTAACCTACTGACGATTTTGTGAACCATTCTGGTGAAAGCTTCAGGTAAAATTTGAGGCACTCGGTTTCTCTGATAGTATTTTTAAAATTTTTGAAGTCGAATATGGTGGAGACGGCTCAACTAAATATAGAGAAACTATATATTTTTGGAATCGGAAAATTGAGCTCTTCATGAATATAGAATCAAATATAGGGCATTCTATTTTTAAAAAGTTGGAAGAATGCAAAATTTCAAATTTCTGACAATAATTTAGCTAATGGCTATTTGCACTGCTATCACTTAATGATAGAGTGCATAGTGATTTGTCCTGCTGGAAGCGCTTCTGAGAGTACTTTTATGTAAAAGAACGCGTCCTGCGAGCAGGACTTGACTCGGCCTATTAATTTGTCCTGTAGAGAGAACGCTGCACGTTCTGCTGGCAGTACGCGCTGATTCCAGAAGTACTTATAATTGAAAGTGTTGCAGATCTATTATGGCAGAACTAAGCCATATACCTAATACCGCCAATTATACTTAAACTTTTTTGAAATTAAAACATACTTTATTTTTCCCACCAATTAAGTACCTATATGTGTAATTATCTTTTTCTAAATTTTGGTTATTGAAATTCCCAAGCCTATTTTATATTTTAACAGATTTTGTAAAATGACTAGCAATCTAAATGAAAAAATCAAAGAAATATTTCTGAAAAAAATCAGTTGTTTATTATGTAGCTACTTAAGAGAAATGTAATAGACTACGCTAGGTTACAAAGTCGAATGAAAAATGAATATTCAACAAAAAAAATAAAACTAAAACTAAGAGGAAACGAAACGTTTGTTTGCTATTTATTCAGTATTATTTCAATTATTATTGATTTGTAAATCTGGTCGAAAACCAAGATAGTAGGCCCAATTAAAATCGAAAAATGTGGCTAAAACGGCCACACGCGTCCCAATAGGTATCATTTTCACGACTAAAATGGCGCGGCTTTGATTGATAATTAGTCGGTAACGGTTAGCAATAGGACTATGATCAAAAAATGCGCTGAAAGTTCAAGATTTTCTCTATTTACTAGAAGGTCCAAAAGTCCTTCTAGCAGGTCTCTTAATCCTAATATAATATAGGCATTTTAATAGGGTCCTCAAATGTTCACTTTTTGTCCTGCTGGCAGTACGCTATGCACTCTATCATTAAGGGCTATTTAATTTAAGTGGAGCTTTGAATGTGACTTTTGTTTCTACAAGAGTCGCATTCAAAGCTCCACTGGGATTAAATATCCCTTAAGTTGTAGCGGTGAAAATAGCCGTAAAACTGCTCTACTTTTATGTTTACACCTATCATCTACCCATAAAGGTGCCCAAAGGTGGGGTGTCAAATTCAAATTATAACCAGACACCCTGTACCTTCCAATATTTTGTATGCCCCCCCCCCCTTAATTTGGGTCTGGATCCGCGCCTGGTATTTTAGTAGGAAAGGGCAGTTCAATCCTCATTACTTTTTATCTTTCATATAGTCAATAATACTGAATATACAGACTGTGAATTTATTAATGTAATCAAATTTCATGTTCGTAGAATTAACCTAGACTAAGGAACTTGTGATAAACCGGTCAAGTTGCTCACCGCTGAGCCATATCCTGAGTGTAGCGATATCTTAGAGGAGTGTTACATAGATATTTTCAGCACAACTGCTGCCTCAATCCAAAAATTGACTCGAGGAGAGAGCTCAATTGCTGTGATTTATGTGTGCTATCTAGCCTATATTTATTTATTTTTGTATTATGTATTTATCTATTTTTTGTTATCGTTTTAGTTTTAGCAGCCCCCTTACTTGTAATTACTTATAAGTGTTTATGTAAGGTAGGTATTTAAAAAATAAAAAAATTAAAATAAATTCTATGCAGGCTACAGATTGTCGTAAGGATATAAATAGGTATCCATCAAAACAGCTTAAATATTTCAGGACGTCGATAGGCATTGATTACCCACATCAGGACTAGGACTACATAATGAAAATAGAGAAATTGGTGTAGACTTTCTACATCATAAATAGGTATATAATTAACAAATAGTATAGTGGTAGATATGTATTGTAATTGCTCGATTAAATATTATTAAAGATTTCTGAGAATTTGATTTCTTTTATGTCTTATGAATATGTTGAAGAAGTACTTGGCTCTTTTTGATATCATTTCACTAACATCTGGTTGATTGGAGATGTTCGTACCTACCAATGGGGAATGTTATAAACTCGGTCAGAATTTTACATACTTACATTTAAACAGTAGCGTAGCCAGAAAAGGGGATGGAAAACTGTTGCACGCCCTTTCTTTTTCCTTGTAATTGCAAAGGTCATGTTTTCTTCATGAGATTGGAGATTATTGCTATTTTTTATTAATTAAATTCCAATAAGTGCTTTTTAAATAATTTCCGCTCAACTAGAAGGGTTCTAACTCCCCCGACTCCATAGCTACGCCACTGACTCTAAAATGTTGAAATGGATGTTATTTTATCCTGGAGCTACATTTTTATTAATAAAATAAAATGAAGGAGCGTATGTCGCATATTTGTGCCCATTGTTCGATTGTTTGCTTCAAGCTTGAGAGATGAAAATGAGTAACGGCACTTGCTATAGACACGTCGTTGGCCATAGTCAAAACTATTTATAGAATAAGTTTCTAATGTGACCCCTCAATTAACATTAATATTTTCCTTTGTATGAAGCTTAAAAAATGAAAATTTTATCAAAAGAAAGTACAAAGCTAGAATAAATCTATATGATTAAAAAAAATTATAATTTAAAATTTCAGTAGGTCATCTAAACTTGCGGATTACCTATTAATTAAAGAGGAAAAGTGAGTGATGATCTCCTCGTCATTCCCAATAGTTTTTAATTATCTCAGTCCATTTTTATTTATTTTATAAGCTCATGAAAAAATATAGGTTAATAAATTTAGGAAGAAATAGCCCTCGCAAGTTCTTCTTCAATACCCGTGGAAATTTGAATGTTCATCAACCTAACAACCAGGGATTTCAATACTATAACATCTCTCGAATTTCAGAATCATGGAAAGAAATTATTATTTTTCGGATATTAGCGATTTTTATTCGTACTTAAAATATTGTACGATTCACGTATGAAACCACTATTAAAACGCTTGCGTGTTTATGAGTGTTTCTATTTGATAATGTAAATATCTATAACATAACTTCATCTCATAAGGCATTTCAAGGGAGAAAATCACTAAAAAAATCATTCGAATTTTAAGCACAATTTTTAAATTTGATAAAGTCTTATTTTATGGGTTTTCCCATTATAATTTATAAATAAAAAAAATATAATAATATGTTTATCTACATGTAGAAAGACTATTCGCATTAAATTTTAAAGATGTCGCATTAATCAAGGTAGGTACTTGTAGGTATCATAATGGTCCACGAACTATCAAGTGTGTGAATAAACCGTTAAAAATAAGATAAACAGACTTTCACCATCATCTTGACCGAATTTTTGGGCCTAATTAAAATAAAAAAGCATTTTAAGTCGCCAATAATTGTGTCCCATATTTTGGTAACGTGGCCTTGTATCGTTAAGGATATGAAAAAAATTCTGTTAATCCAATTAAAAAAAATCGTGTCTAATCATAATTAGATACCTAAATATGACTTTTCAAAAATGTGTTTTCTAAATCGATAAAATCTCTGCAATACTACCCATATCACAAGAGCTTCAAAGGCCAAAGGGCATTGAATGAAACTTCAGAATTTTAGAGCCAAAAACGAATAGAGCAAAAATTTTAAATATTGATCAATTCAGATATAACTAAACAATAGGCATATAGGCTGCAAGAAATTATAATAAAACCGCAAAAAGGGTTAAACAATTTAAGAAAAAGTAATAGGTATATGAAACTTACCATTATCTAATTATTTTAACCATAATGTTAATTTATTATGATTGACAACTATTGCTTCGTTGAATTAAAATTAGTTATTAAAAAGTATGTATATAGGCACTTGAATTATTCCCAAAAATTTACAATTATTTAAACCTAACCTATACCAATAGTTTTGCTCGTATCCAGGCTATAAACTCTCTCAGCCCTCAACCTCCCTCTTGCCTGCGCACTTCCAAACTGCAATCCCCCAAAAACCTGGCAAACGTTGTGCCAGAACTTTAGAAGCGATGTTCGAGAAACCAGCATAGGGAGTTTTGGGAGTTCGATTTTAATCTGTTGCTTGTGAAGTTTGAGCATAGACCTACGTAGTAGTTAGGTCGATGGTTTGAGTTAATTTTGTAGACTTTGATAGTGCGTTCCTAAATGCATAATTTTTTCACAATACAAACGCTCTAACTGTGGAAGAGTTTTCTGGACATCAAACTCCAAGACACAACATTATTTACAAAAAACTCTCACCACATTGGATTTGGTATCTGGCTGGATGAGATATATTTCCATCGTAGATATAATTTTTGATGGTTGTTTTATAACGTATTTATAGATTTTTCAGCGCGATATGCATAGGCGAACTTAAACGATGCTTGGTGGCCCGGGAACGAAGCGGGCCGGAAAGGGTCTCCTTTAGGTACCTACAAATATTTTTTTTAAATAAAATTGAGAAATATAATGACCGATACCGATCGATATAATTAACTGATACATTCCTTCCAGATGCCACCGCTGAAAGGTCATTTACTAAATTAAAAATATTGAAAAATCACTTGAGAAATTCCATAAGTCAGCCTGGTCTGCATGATCTTTCTATTTTGTCTATCCGACACAGCATCCATTATGAATATTCGGTATTTAGTTCCTCCAAAAAAATTATCCAATGGATAATGGAGCCATCGATAATCAAAATTTGAACTATCACCGGCTCTTGCTTCGTTATTAGGCCAGGGCAGTTAGCAAAAATAGGAGAAGTTTTTGCAATCAAGCTGATTTTTTCACAGATGATAGTACCCATCAATAGTACTCTGTAAAAAAAGTTACACCTCCTAGGAGGCTTGCTTTTTCCGCCATGATGAATTAAAGATGGCGGCTGGTGCTATTCTTGAAAAAAATCCTAACTTTCTTATTTATTAACCGATTTTCGTCAAGTAAAAAAAATAGTATATTGTATATTTAGGTGGAAAAGTGACACATACTCGGCCGACGGTGTAAGTTGACGGGCGAGGCGTAGCCGAGGCCGGCAAACACCGAAGGCCGAGAATGTGCTTTTCCACCGAAATACACATACTATTTTTTCTGCGATCGATTAAATATCTGTTAAATGTTTGTCTTTTTGTTCCAATTATTCAGCAGTACGAGAATGACTTTCCCGGCCTAGGTCGGAAAAGTGATTCTCGTATTGTTATTCATTGATGCCTTAGCAACTATTGAAATATAATTAAAATACCAGAATATTGAGTTTTGCGACCTGTCAACCGGTCAAAAATGCTGACATTTCTTGTCAATTGCAGAAAAAGGTATTTTTCTGCGGCACAAAAAAGTGCATCTACTCCGTATGCAACACGCTATTTTTTCTCCAAACAAATGGGGTAAGCTCGGGGGTAACTGAATGGTTAAGCGGCAGTAAAAGTACGAGCGGCACTAAAAATACTTTTGCTGCCGCTCCAGCGGCACTAAAAGTACTTTTGCTGCCGCTGGGGTTGCCAAGCAGCATAGAAATTGAATTTCTACCACCTCGACAGGTGTTAACCTGCTGGATTTGCCTACCAGCATAGAAATTAAATTTCTGACATCTTGACAGAGGTTAACAAAGTGGCGTTTTTTTGACGTTTGAAGAAAAAAGTATTGTTTGTTTCACGTACCTAAAATATAGGGTTTCTAGATACCTACTTGTTACAAAAAATACATATCTTAGCTCGATTGACATAAAAACAGTTGCCTTTAGTTTTAGTTGAATTTTTTTTTCTACTGCCTTGTGTGAAGTACTGACTTTACGCACTGTTCAAACGTTGGATTAGATTTCACACACTTTTGCGTAAAGTGTTTCACAACAACAAAAAAGTTTACTAAATTGTAGTTTCTTCGCAAAAATGCATAAATACCCACAAGTATAAAATTTTATATTATAAAAGCCATTACTGCCCTTTTTCTGCATTAGAAATGAGATTTTACTTCACACTTTAGGTTGTGAACTAAGTTACTTTAGACACAATAGGGCGTAAAGTTGTGGTATATTTTTTTCAAATTTTTGGCACCGAGCGTTATGATCTACATATATCGCCCGCTTACAATATTGTTGGTAGTAGAAAAAAAAATTTATGCAACAGGTGTGTAAAGCTTCTTTTTTCCATACATTTGTGAAAAAAGGTTCACTTCAGACATCTGTTTATGTTTTATACCAAAAAAAAATTCTAGTACCGACAATAATTAAGCCATACATTTGAAAAAATATACCTACCACAACTTTACGCCCTAGTGTCTAACTTAGTTCACAGGGTGTAAAGTAAAAGCACATTTTTAGTGCAGAAAAAGGGCAGCAAAGACTTTTGTGATATAAAATTCCATACTTGCGTATTTATTATTTATGCATTTTTGCGAAAAAACTAATGCAATTTAGGGCGGGTACATTTTGAAAGAGACTCACGCCAGACCCTCGCAACCCTATCCGTGGATGGTGGCTGCGAAGTTATAGTTTTATTATAGAAGTTCTTACGAAACCCCCATGCCATTTCAATAGGATTATATTGGCAATGATAAGGAGGTAATCTAAGAACTTCGTGTCCGTGGCTTTTCAAAATGTCGTCAATTTTGTATTGTTTTGGTCTATTCCGAAATGGTTGAGTAAGGTCCCATAGTTGTTTTTTGGTCATTTTTGTGTCGAAGTCTACGTTATGTTTAACCAACCATTCCTGCAATTTGTCTTTCTTTGAAGAGAATGAAGGTGGTTTATCCTTCTGCTCTGAATGATATGGAGCGATGTCACAGCCCCCTACATTTAACAAGCCATGAAGTTAAAAAGGCAACACCGCAATCTTACCGCCAAGTGGTGCTGGTGGTGTTTGTTTGTATAAATATATATTTTTTATTTTATTAATATGAATCACAAAAAATACATAATTTATTGTACTAAAGGGTCAAAAACAGTAATTCAATGAATAATTTAACTATTTGTGTAAATAAGAACAGTAAATAATTGATTTAAATGAATATATTTCTAGAGTCCAAAGTGTTATGTTTCAGTATGTCTTTTGAAAATCTAACTTTTTCTTTCTTCGGGATTTTTTCGGAAGGCAAGTCCATCAAATACTTGAGCTGATTTTCGAAAATAAGAGGTACCTACTTTTAAGAGTTGGACGTTTTAGTTTGAACTCTCGAACTACACCTTTATCCTTGTTTGTTTCAAATCTAATTATTTCGGTTTCTTCAAAATGTTTACAACACACCACAGAATTTTTCGTTATTGTATAATCTCGGGTATAATTATCTTGGTGTATTGCTTTCATCCACATTTTTTGCACTTCAGAATTTTTTTGGAAATAAAAATGTTTGCATTTCTTCAGTTTTTAAGGAACTCCTAATAGTTCGATTTGCACCCAGGAACACAGTAGTTTCATGGCATCTGGAACAAGTTTAAATATCTTAGGTAATATATCGAGACCTATGCTCTTGCAGACAAATATTAATATTGTTTTTATTGTTTTACCTTACCTTACCTTCATTTTTGCTCCTGTACCCATTTGCTAAGAATTTGCAATCAAAGCACAAAGGAACAGGTATCAGCTAAATATGGGCAATATATTGGTGTGCTTCTATCCACTTTTTCGTTAATAATGCCCATAAAAATACTAAATTGCAACAATACACAATGAAAGCAATACAGAGAAACAAATAACCCAATAACAAAATAGCACCATACGCGACGTTGCCGTCATTTCCAATTTCATGGCTTGTTAACTATAGGAGGCTGTGGCGATGTCCATGATTATTACACATTTCTCTTCAAATAAATTTAATGCAGGAATTAGTTGATCAACGACCCATTTTTGGAAGATGTCCGCGTTCATGGTATTGTGGTAGTCTCTGTCATTGTTTCTTGAATCTAGAAAAAAATCGCACCCATCTAAAAACCCAGAACTACTCCCCGCATGCAAAATAGTAAAACGTTTCCCCTCTGACTTAATTTTGGATGGGTTGCTTTGCATATCAGATTCGTGTATCCATCGACGAACTTGAGATTCGTTTTGGTAGATCCAAGTTTCATCTAAATACACGAATCTGATATTTTCGTTTGAATGTTTATATTGCAGGTATTTCCGCAAAAATGTAATTTTGGCAGCAAGAACATGTTTCTGCTCACATAAAATTTTGCGTCCAGTTACTAATTTAAATTTATATCCCATAGATTTTAAAATTTTATATAAACTTATTTGCCCTCCCTTAAATTCCAAATTTTGTCAGTAATGTTTGTAATGTAAAATATTCATTTTTAGAATTGTATTTCCAAATTTGTCGTTGTAAATCTTCTTTAAACATTCGGTCCATAATAGTCTCTGTCTTTTTCGGTCGGCCTAAAGGTTTTTTGTTTGTATATTGTCCAGTCAAAATTCTTTGAATAGTCCTGGTTCCCACCTAAAATTTAAGGAAAATGTTGGTTGGGTAAGAAATGGCTTCACATCTACATTTAAGTTATACCTACCTCAAATATATCTGCAAGTTGGGCTTCAATTGTTCCCTGGAGAGCCTGTGGTTTATTTTTTTAAAAATAACCATGACATTTTAATATTTCCCTTTTTTCTTCTTCGGAAATTATTTTCGGCATCTTCAATACAAAAGAAATTTGACAATGCCGATGATGCATTGAAAAATGTGTCAAATTTGCTTTGCCACATAGGCCAGAAAATTTTAATACCGCGGCACTTACGAAATTATGTAAACCACACTTAAAACTGCCTGGAATTTGGCATATACTGTCATTATTATACGAGGGTCAACCTGCCAAATTTCCATGGCACGGCACTACGCCAATAATAAGTGAAAAAGGTATATTTATGAATTTTTTTTCAATCCAAACATTATTGCCAACCCTTCCCTTTCCAAATTTGAATACTTTTTCTCAGTCGTAGAAAGTGTGCTAGACGCAAACATCACTGGTCTATCTTCGTTATCTATTCTAT